AACAAAATCACACCATATTGTTTCTCCAACGGCCGTGGCGGCTTGACAGAGCGCGCACCGAATTCCAGGGGTAGATCGCTAATCTCTCACGGATTTGATTGTCTGTGAAATTAGAAGTAATTAAGAGAAGTTTTGTGCTTTCCCAGAGGTGGAAATGGCACAAATGAAACTGTCACAATGTTTTTCTGAAGTAAACTGATATATTAATGCAATAACACAAGTCACAGAGAAAATATTTACGCAACATTCAGTGGTGGCTCCAGAGATGGGTCACACTCCTTCTCTCCCACAAACGGTGAGGACAGAAGCGAGACCCAAACACACAACACCATATCCATGTCGCCTCGTTACATTCACGCAGACCTATGTGGAAGTTTTGATGGTAGGGGAAAACCGAAGCACCTGGAGGAAACACGCTGACGGGGAGAACATGCAAATTCTACACAGAATAGGGCCCTGTTCCAGACCAGGATTTCGAACCCAGGACATTCGTGCTGAGAAGTGAGAGAGTGCTAGCCACACAAAAAAATTGCAAAATATATCCAAATTTGAGCACATTTTGACTCTGCGCACTTAAAATAAGATTTGACATGGGAGAACAAAAATGATCGGTAACACTTTACATTACGGCCGGTAAGTCCATGGTACTTACAGTGGTACTTCTAGTACTACAGTGTACTTCTAGGTACTTACAGTGGACTTTACGTGTGGTACTTACGGTGTACTTACGGTGGTACTTACTGGTGGGTACTTACGGTGGTACTTACGGTGGTACTATACGGTGGTACATACAGTGGTACTTAACAGTGGTACTTACAGGTGGCTACTTCTAGTACTTACTTGGTACTCTAGGTACTTACAGTGGTACTTACGGTGGTACTTACGGTGGTACTTACGGTGGTACTTACTGTGGGTTGGTACTTACGGTGGTACTGTACTGGTACTTAACGGTGTACTTAAAGTGGTACTTACAGTGGTACTTACGGTGGTACTTACGGTGTACTACGTGGTACTTACGTGGTACTTACGGTGGTACTTACAGTGGTACTTACGGTGGTACTTAACGGTGGTACTTAACTGTGGTACATACAGTGGTACTTCTAGTGTACTGTACAGTGGGACTTTCTAGGTACTTACGGTGGTACTTACGGTGGTAGTTGTTTTCTTACGCGAGTGGGACTTACGGTGGTACTTTCGGTGGTACTTACAGTGGTGACGTACGTGGTACTTACGGGTGGTACTTACGGTGGTACTTACAGTGTACTTACGTGGTACTTACGGTGGTGACTTACGGTGGTACGTTACGGGGGTACTTACGGTGGTAACTACAGGGGTACTATACGGGTGGACTCTACGTGGTACTTACAGTGGTACATACAAGTGGTGACTTCTAGTACTTCTAGTACTACAATTGGTACTTTCTAGTGGTACTTCTAGGTACATATTGTGGTACTTACAGGTGGTACTTCTAGGTACTTAGGCAGTGGTACTTAGAGTACTTATTGTGGTAACTTAACAGTGGTACATCTAGGTACTTATTGTGATAAATTCTAGATACAGCTGTAACTTATAATTCAAGGATACTGACAGGACAGCATTATTCCTATGGTAAGTAAATGTGGTACTCAGCTCTACATACATACATACAAGGTCCCTTTTTGTAGGATTGTTTTGACTATAAAACATAAAACAACATTATGTAAAACAAACGTCTTTATTAATTTGGATAAGAGCACAGAAAGGACAGTATAAATACATATAAATGCATATCTTCAAACAAGTTTCAAGTGACAAGGGAAACACTGCAAGAACTAGGTACCTCAACCAAGTAACTAGAATTACACATTACCGAGGTTACTTACCTGCCAAGTAACCCAGGTACTTACCACAAGTACCCAGGTACTGTGTCCAGCAGATACCAGGTACTTACCAGCAAGTACCAGTATTAACAGCAAGTACTCGAGGTACTTAAACTAGCAAGTACCAGGTACTTACCATAGGGACTGGCCATAATAGACAAAGGACTTTTAACAAAAGTACCTGTGATAACACCAGTAATTATACAGTAAGTACCAGGTACTTACATAGGGCCTGGCCATAATGAAGACAAAGGACTTTAACATAAGTACCCCAACTGAGGGGGGGGGGAGACGGGGGGTCGGGCGAGGTTAATGTAGGATAGGGAGGGGGGGGGGTGAGGGGGGGGGTTACGCGGGGGGGGGGGGGGGGCGGAGGGGGTACTGTACCGGAGGATGGGGAGGGGGGGGAAGGGGGCGGGTGGGGGGGGGCGCCATGGGAATGGAAGGGAAAGGAGGGGAGGGGGGGGACTTGGACGGGGGGGGGGGGTAATAAACGTACTAGAGTGCGTACCACACACACACACACACACACACACAGTCATAACCAGTGTACTTCTCTCTACGCAAGTACCAAGGTACTTACCATAGGGAATAGGCCCATAATAAGACAAAGACTTTACAAAGTACCAGTGATAACACCAGTAATTATACAGTAAGTTACCAGGTCTTACCATAGGGAACTTGGCCCATAATAAGACACCAAGGACATTTAACATATGTACCGAGTGATAACAACCAGTAATTAATATAGTAAGTACCATAAGGTACTTACCATAGGAACTGGCCCATAATAAGAACAAAGACTTACCCATAAGTACTAGTGTATACCAGTAATTATATAGTATACCATGTACTCTACCAGCAGTACCATGTACTTACCAAGCAAGTACCAATGGTACTTACCACAAGTACCAGGATACTTACCAGCTAAGTACCCAGGTACTGTACCACAAGTACCGAGGTACTTACCAGCAAGTACCGAGGTACTTAACCATGCAAGTACCAGTACTTACCAGCATTACCTGGTAAGTACATGGTATACTATATAATTACTGGTGTAGTACTTATGGTAAGGTCCTTTGTCTTATTATGGGCCAGTTTCCTATGGTAGAGTAACCTGGTACTTACTATATTATTACTGGTGTTTCTCACTGGTATCACCAGTCCCTATGGTACTTATGGTGTGTATCAGGTCCTTTGTCTTATTATGGGCCAGTTCCTATGGGTAACATGTACCTGGCCAGTTCCTATGGTAAGTACCTGGTACTTACTATATAATTACTGGTGTTATCATCACTGGTACTTATGTTAAAGTCCTTTGTCTTATTATGGGCCAGTCCCTATGGTAAGTACCTGGTACTTACTGTATAATTACTGGTGTTATCACTGGTACTTCTGTTAAAGTCCATTGTCCCTTATTATTGCCAGTCCCTATGGTAAGTACCTGGTACTTGCGTTATGTACCTGGTACTTGCTGTTAAGTCCCTGGACTTGCTGGTAAGTACCTGGTACTTGCTGGTAAGTACTGGTACTGGCTGTAAGTACCTAAGTACCTGTATTGTGTAATTCTTGTTACTTGGGTTGGGTAACTAGTTCTGCAGCTGTTTTCCCTGTCCTTGAAACTTGTTTTGTAATATTGCATTAAATGTATTATACTGTCCCTTTCTGTGCTACTTATTCCATAATTAATAAAGACGTTGGTTTTACATAATGTTTTTTATGTTTTTATAGTCAAACAATCCTACAAATGACCTCTGTTGTAAGGTATGTAAAGTACCACATTTACTACATAGGAATTATGCTGTTAGAAACCTTGAATTACTAAGTTACAGGTGTATCTTGAATTAGCACCAATAAGTTACCTAGAAGTACCACCTGTAATTACCACAATAATACCTCTAAGTACCACTGGTAAAGTACCTAGAAGTACCACTGTAAGTACCACAATAAGTACCTAGAAGTACCACTAGAAGTACCACTGTAAGTACCTAGAAGTACCTAGAATACCACGGTAAGTACCACTGTAAGAACCACCGTAAGTACCACCGTAAGTACCGACCGTGTAAGGACCACCGTAAGTACCCCACCGTAAGTACCACCGTAAGTACCACCGTAAAGTACCACCGTAAGACCACTGTACAGTACCACCGTAAGTACAACCGTAAGTACCACCGTAAGTTACCACTGTAAGTACCACCGTAAGGTACCAGCCGAAGTACCACCGTAAGTACCACCGTAAGTACGCGACCGTAAGTACCTAGAAGTACCACTGTAAGTACCTAGAAGTACCACTGTAAGTACACCGTAAGTACAGAACACCGTAAGTACCACCGTAAGTACCGCAGTAAGTACCACCGTAAGTAACCACCGTAAGTACCACCGTAAGTACCACCGTAAGTACCACCTGTAATACCACTGTAAGTACCACTGTAAGTACCACCGTAATTACCACGTAAGTACCGACCTTAAGTACCACCCGTAAGTACCACCGTAAGTACCACCGTAAGTTACCAAACCGTAAAGTACCGACTGTAAGTACCAGAAGTACCACTGTAAGTACCTAGAAGTACCACTGTAAGTAACCACTGTAAGTACCACTGTAAAGTACCACGTAAGTACCACCGTAAGTACCGCCCGTAAGTACCACCGTAAGTATCCCCCGGGGGAGAGGGGGGGGGGGGGCCAACGTAAGTACCACCGTAAGTACCAACGTAGTACCGACGTAAGTACCTAGAAGTACCACTGTAAGTACCTAGAAGTTCCCACTGTAAGTACCATGGACTACCCGGCCCTTAATGTAAAGTGTTACCGATCATTTTTGTTTTCCGCGCCACCCTTCAGTATCACGCGCGACTGACACACAAGTAGTAGTGAACGGAGCTATCACACACAGAGCACCATAGTCGTGGATTACATCTGATGCGAGGCAATTATGTTATGTAGAGGGGGTCTAGTGGCGCGGCAGCACATCTCGCCACTCTACGGCTGTGTACAGCGTAAGACATAGCTCGTGCTACACGGCGGACGCTCCTGGGTCCGTGAGACAGCGCGGCTCCCTAGTCTGAGTAAGAACTGCGCATCGAGATACTTTCTCCCGCTGTCGCAGCTCTCCGCCGAGTGATGCTTCTATCCTTCACGCTCCTATCCGGCTCGGATCAGCAGACAACTCTTGCAGCTGAGTGGACCATGATGCACTACGGAGTCTCCATCTATCAGCGAGACGTTGTGAGCGAGCTCTGCAGTGCTGATCTGTGCTTTCTCAAGCGCCGCGCTCTCTAGTGCCTCACGCGTAGTTATGTCGCAGGTCGAGATGTAGAACACTCTATACACTCGGAGCTCACTCGGAGCTGGAGTCTAGCTTCGTCAATCTTCTATTAAAGTATCTGATCCTCTTGCGCGAATGCTTTCGCTCTTATCGAGATTCCATTACAACATGAGATTTCTGAAATATGAGGACTATCCTGCGAAGCGACAGCATTCTGTTCATAGACAGTTACATCTTTGTGCCAATCCACATCCCTACTGGCACAAAGCTCACTCGTAAATACAGTCTCCTTACAATCGACTGCTGATGGAATCACACAGACACGACCACTCTCTAATGGCCGTGTGTAGACATTACGTGGGCTATCCTCTACCCGGGAGGCAATGGACACCAGGCGTGCGCTCTGCTACGACTGGCGCGCACTAAGGCTCGAGTGCGGTAGAGAAACGCGCGTAACTGCGGCTGGGATGTGTGGTTGCGAGCGCGTCTCCTTCGCGACTTCCGGACGACAAACTAGAGCCTCATATAGAACGTGCAGACGAGTCTCGCGAGAGAATGATAGCTACGATAGCGGCTGGATTTACTCAATCCCTTAGCTCACACAGGCATTAGCATAATCTACACAAAGACTAGTCTCTAGAGAAGCCGTTCTGAATACGGTCTAGAGGGGGGCGGCTATCTCTGGGATTATAGATGTCTGATCGACTAGGTCTAGCTTCGGGATAGAGTTTCGTTCTGAGATACGGAGCATATTAGACTTAGATGAGGCGCAGATTGTGAGTGGGAGGCAGGACGCTATGTGATGTTGTGATGCTGGAGTATACTCCTACTCACATCTTACAGTAGACGTGAGCCGAGCCAAGGAGATAGTGGACATTGTTATCTACTGGTGGTTTTCGTACTTCTCTCTCCGCGTTACAGAAAGAATCACGGCGAATTTGTGAGAGTTAGAACCCACACACATAACAATCCGACGTGGACATGGGTCTTCAGCGTCAACGACTGTTTAATTAGGAGTAGCCTAGTCTGTAATAATACTATCTGTGGACGTGCAAGTGCAGAGAGACGGACCTCAAGGTCGATGGGTAGGAGTATGGTCTACTAGTAGTAGGACGTGAGGAGCCTATGGTGAGAGTGAGGTCACGCATTGCGTCAAGGGTATTGGTGAAGATGTGACGTCACGTCAGTTTTGTGGTGCGTCAGAGTGAGTGAGCTTGTTTCGGATCTCAAGTGCATAGACACGGCTGCAGTCAGCTGATCGAGCACAAGTAGAGGGAATCTGGTCAGGGCGAGCTCTGAGTTCGTAGGTCTATGAGGCATATGCAATGCGCGCAGTAGGGTCAAGCTATCAAGTAGCTAGTCCGTAGAGAGTCAAGCATGCGATCTCTCGTACAGAGAGGTACGAGTATCAGTCTATCTAACAGACTGACGATGCTTACCTTCGGATATGGTGATGCTATATTTCTGGCAGTATGTGCTGACAGGATAGGATTCGCAAGGACTGACAGTGTGATAGTGGTGATCGCACTGACACGAGTGGTGTCTGCCGATCAGAGAGTAGTGCATGGGATCTGCACGTAGCTCTAGGAGCGATCTGATCGCGTCTGAGTCGATGTATATACCTCACAAGATCTTATATCACCCAATATCAGTGATGATCTTGCGAGCTTTCAGTCAGGGGGTCGTTGTAAAGATAGCGTAAGAGACTTGACCATGTGGGAGACTGCTTGGGCAGCAGGCATGCAGGGAATGGTGTAGGTCAGTATCAGATGGGGAGTGTGCTCGTAATTATAAGTACTTGAGAGGCCTGTGCTGCACGGTGGAGAGGGAGCTAGCAAGTATCGGATCAGAAGAGGGTGGCACTATTTCGTGCCAGCACGACAAGAGGGCGATTAAGAAGTGGTCAGAGCGAGGATGGAGTTTAGGTCTTCTGCTGCGCAGAGGAGTCTCACAGGATTGTCTCTGCGACGTTCTAGCGGTAGACGGCGATTTACGACTGGTGCTGACAACACTATACGCGGCGTGCTCGTCATAGCGCGATGCCTAGACCATGCGTCTACGCTAGTAGTGATAGCAATAACATCGAATCAGTGCGTAATCTTATAGACGGTCTATAGCAGCACTTGAATGAAAAAAGAAGGCTACTGTGACGTGACAGCGCGCGGATTTCATGCAGATAGTTCCATGACTTTCAGTTTCATTTTGTGCGTCATGGGACGATTTGGAGAGAACTTAACTACAAGTGGCACTTGTCTGAGGGGTGAGATCGGAACACGATCAGCTTGCGTGTATAGGAGCAGATCTTGAGTGTAGACAACACTAGTTGGACAACACTGTTGTCTGGACTGAGTGACAGACCAGGCGTGACACAGGTCGTGATTAGGACTATCACAGTTGAGGGGGACAGACATGACTGTGACAGTGACACTATTGAGACATGAAGTGGGTGTGGCATCAGTAGCCAGTGATGGTGCTTAAGGTGAGTAAGTGGTAGCACTCACAGCTGACTATGGCGAGTGGTGAAGGTAGGTAGCCGGACTATGAAGAGGGTGAGTCGTGATAGTATATAATGTAATGCGACACGGCACGGTGACAGTGGGGTCCATGAATGATGTGGGAATGGAGTGCGGCTGCGCGGCTAGCAACGGTTATCACTCGTATTGACATGCAGTGAATGTCAGGCGACACAGTGGTACAGGTAGGTCGGAGGAACAGTGCGTGACGAATTGTGTAGCGTTACAAGACACCTGTGAGGTGACGATCACGATTGACAGTGAGTGCAGACAGCAAGAGAGTGGAGGTATGCAACAGACATGTGCACCACGGTGTGGGTGTGTGTTCTAGGTAGTAGTTAGTACACAATAGTAAGAGTGTTGTGAGATTACTGGTGTAGTGGGTGATAGGGTGGAGTGGGGCAGGTGTGTACGTGGAGGGAGTGAGAGAGTCGAGGGATGTGTGAGGCTCTTCGTTACACAGCATGAGGGCACTGCGAGAGATGGTAGAGAGAGTCACTGCGCACGTTCGATAGGTATGTAGGTGAGTCAGAGACACAGGTCGGCACACAGGCACAGGTAGACACATTATGGGGCACACACACGGGACGCGGGGCGTGGCGTGTTGAGTAGTACACATACAGTGATAGTGGGGGTGAGCGAGAGCGAGAGTGAGTGATGTGAGGAGAGTGTACGGATTCTGCATGAATTTCACTTTTACAACAGAATCAGTTCAAATACATAGAATCACAGTTGTTGGATGCCAGTATGCAATTCATGATGTTTCTGGCCTGTTTTAAGCGTTTCAAGTGGTTTGCTGCATGAATTTCACTTTTACAACAGAATCAGTTCAAATACATAGAATCACAGTTGTTGGATGCCAGTATGCAATTCATGATGTTTCGTGCCTGTTTTAAGCGTTTCAAGTGGTTTGCTGCATGAATTTCACTTTTACAACAGAATCAGTTCAAATACATCGAATCACAGTTGTTGGATGCCAGTATGCAATTCATGATGTTTCTGGCCTGTTTTAAGCGTTTCAAGTGGTTTGCTGCATGAAATTCACTTTTAAAACAGAATCAGTTCAAATACATGGAATCACAGTTATTAGGAGCGAAAATGTAATTTATGATTTTTCTGGCCTGTTTAAGCGTTTCAGTGGTTTACTGTGTAAAATTCACTTTTACCACAGAATCAGTTCAAATACATAGAGTCACAGTTGTTTAGTGCCAGGATGTAATTCATAATGTTTCAGGCCTGTTTTAAGCATTTCAAGTGGTTTGCTGCATGAAATTCACTTTTACCAAAGAATCAGTTCAAATACATAGAATCACAGTTGTTTAGTGCCAGGATGTAATTCATGATGTTTTGGCCTTTTTTAAGCGTTTCAAGGTGGTTTGCTGCATGAAATTCCCTTTTACAACAGAATCAGTTCAAATACATAGAATTACAGTTGTTTAGAGCCAGGATGTAATTCATAGTGTTTTTGGCCTGTTTTAAGCGTTTCAAGTGGTTTGCTGCATGAATTTCACTTTTACAACAGAATCAGTTCAAATACATAAAACCATCGTGGCGTTAGAGCCAGGATGTAATTCATGTTTTTTTTTGGCCTGTTTTTAAGCGTTTCTAGTGGTTCTTCTGTATGAAATTCACTTTTTACAAAAGAATCAGTTCAAGTACATAGAATCACAGTTGTTTGGATGCAATTCATGATGTTTCTGGCCTGTTTTAAGCGTTTCAAGTGGTTTGCTGCATGAAATTCACTTTTACAAAGGAATCAGTTCAAATACATAGAATCACAGTTGTTTATGCCAGTATGCAATTCATGATGTTTCTGGCCTGTTTTAAGCGTTTCAAGTGGTTTGCTGCATGAATTTCACTTTTACAACAGAATCAGTTCAAATACATAGAATCACAGTTGTTGGATGCCAGTATGCAATTCATGATGTTTCTGGCCTGTTTTAAGCGTTTCAAGTGGTTTGCTGCATGAATTTCACTTTTACAACAGAATCAGTTCAAATACATAGAATCACAGTTGTTGGATGCCAGTATGCAATTCATGATGTTTCTGGCCTGTTTTAAGCGTTTCACGTGGTTTTCTGCATGAATTTCACTTTTACAACAGAATCAGTTCAAATACATAGAATCACAGTTGTTGGATGCCAGTATGCAATTCATGATGTTTCTGGCCTGTTTTAAGCGTTTCAAGTGGTTTGCTGCATGAATTTCACTTTTACAACAGAATCAGTTCAAATACATAGAATCACAGTTGTTGGATGCCAGTATGCAATTCATGATGTTTCTGGCCTGTTTTATAAGGGTTTAAGTGGTTTGCGGCATTTAAATTCACTTTTACAACAGAATCAGTTCAAATACATAGAATCACAGTTGTTTGATGCCAGTATGCAATTCATGATGTTTCTGGCCTGTTTTAAGCGTTTCAAGTGGTTTGCTGCATGAATTTCACTTTTACAACAGAATCAGTTCAAATACATAGAATCACAGTTGCTTGATGCCAGTATGCAATTCATGATGTTTCTGGCCTGTTTTAAGTGTTTCAAGTGGTTTGCTGCATTAGATATTCCCTTTTACAACAGAATCGGTTCAAATACATAGAATCACAGTTGTTAAGTGCCAGATGTAATTCATGATGTTTCTGGCCTGTTTTAAGCGTTTCAAGTGGTTTGCTGCATGAATTTCACTTTTACAACAGAATCAGTTCAAATACATAGAATCACAGTTGTTGGATGCCAGTATGCAATTCATGATGTTTCTGGCCTGTTTTAAGCGTTTCAAGTGGTTTGCTGCATGAAATTCACTTTTACAAAAGAATCAGTTCAAATACATAGAATCACAGTTGTTTGATGCCAGTATGCAATTCATGATGTTTCTGACCTGTTTTAAGCGTTTCAAGTGGTTTGCTGCATTAAAATCATTTTTTACCACAGAATTAGTTCAAATACATAGAATCACAGTAGTTTAGTGGCAGGATGTAATTCATGCACTGTGCGTCCAACACCAGCCCCGGCTCCCCAAGTGATTTATTTGCAAGCTTGGAACAGAGGGAGAGGCTGCTCCCCTGGAAGAAGCCGAGACAGAGGATGTATTGAAGAAGCCCCAGAAGATGTTATAACTTTGGACAAACCGAACATAGGAGGATGAACTGCCAACCGCAGTTTCAGGGTCCCTACTACGAGATTCAAGAACCCTATTCTGGCAGAAGACCAGTAAGAGGCCGTCTAAACCTATGGCAGGGAACACCTGCTGGTTACTAAGAATGCCTTGAGATTCCAGGGGAAGGTCATCAGCTGGCGACAACATCAAGCCCTGATGAGGAACCAATGCTGCAGGTTCTATTAGCAGGAAACCAGTCGAGATGATGGCAGACATCATCTGCATGGGGCAAACAGATTCCCACCACATTCCCAAGTCGCGACAGTTTGTTCGCATTGTTGGATTCTGTAGGAGAACAAAGCCCTCCCGGCCCTCTAATAACACCTCCGGCAGACGCCAGCAGACGCCACATACCCTAAATTGGATTATAACTCAAAGTAGAACAGCCGTTTGGGTGTAAACACCTGCAGAGACAAACTCTCAAAGGCTCTTACCATTGTCTCTGGACTTAAAAAGACGGCATCTCATTGACACCTCCGTGGAGCCTCCTCAGAGGCCAGAGGATCTCTAAGACTGTGATTCTACCGCCCCCTAGCGGCAACGACAGGCTGAGACAATCAACTCAGACATAACACACATAACAGTAAATGTATTTATGCTTCAAAATCGTACACCTGCACATCTGTTGTGATTCAATCTATTGTTGATTTGTGTGTCACGGTAATCACAGGGATAATTAATAATTATGTAACTTGATTAGCACTGGTTCAAGCAGAAGTGCGTGTGTGTGGAGAGACCGGAACAGGAAGTGACTACCAACGGACACGCCCCCAAGACGCGCTGTACAAAAACAAGCGCGAAGCTCGAAGCCTCTCTCTTTTACCCTCGCTCCTCCTGTGAGCTCTGGTGCCCGTGGGCCGGCCCCGCGTGAATACAGTCCGTGGCCAGGACTGTAACCTG